ATGTATGTCTTAACTTTAGCATCAGCATCAACAGTTGGAATGAAATTGTACTTTTATTTTGATAAACTCAACATTTGGAGTTTTTTTGTTTTGTTTGTTTTGTTTTTTTTCACTGATACTAACATTAACCGGCTGATAAAATCTCAGTGGTCATCATGTCTACATCACTTCTGATTCTCTCACAGCAAAAAAAGAAAAAAAAAAGAAAAAAAAGAAAGGCGTGAGGGGAACAATGAAGAAAAATGAAGAAAGGAAAGAAAATCCCTTTTGTCACAGAATCATTTTAAACTCAGCAGTCATAGCTTTATCTGCAGCACTAATTTTGCTGCTGCATTTGATCTACTTTATACAAGAATGGTTTAACAGTCTGCAGTAGTTGTATGTGTATAGTATGTAATATCCAACTGTAACTTTATGAAAGGCTTCTGTTCAGCACAAATAGGTATATTTAGAAAAATATTGTGTTCGGTTCCTGGGATGCTGTAAAGCATGGATCGATATAGAATGAGTCCAAAAAAGTGAAACCTGAGAGGAAAGGCCTCACAACCCCGTCTGTTTACATTAAAGCGCCCTCTAGTGGAAGGCAGCTGCATGTGACACTGAAAATTAAACATTACTGCTCCAACACGTTCTCACTCCCAAAGTGTAACATTTTACGCTAGGTGACAAATCGTCAACATATTACGTTTTCAGCTACCCACCACGTTCCTAAATGATGATACCCACTCTGATACCCAGTGAAAACAAACATAAGAATTGAGGTTTTGCTTCCCGTTTCTTTAAATCTCTTTAAATATAAAAGTAGGACATAATAGGTAGAGTAGGCATAATATCACATGTGATCAGTTTTTGACAGTCTGTCCTACTTTGATGGTTATTTTGACTGAAAGAGAAGAGCCAGTATGCAGCAGTTAGTTATAAAGTTCAACATTAAATGCCTCATTTGCACAGAACAGACCGTCATGATGAGCTACAAAAAGAGACTGTGAAAAAGCAGATACGGTAGACTAGGCACTCAGTGCTGAAATTTCCTGAGAAACAAAAGACTACTGTGGAAAAGAGTCAGAGATTAAAAAGAAGTAATGATTCAATGCAGCGTCATAGTGGGTGAAAAAAGTGACTGAAGAAAAAACAGTCAATGCATCATGGGAATGGAAAGCCGGGGAGATCATTTTTGTCACGATCTGTATTGGCAGACTGTGTGGAGGGACGAAAAGGACCCAAAAGCTGACACTGAGGAAGATGGTGCTATGGTTGCAAAACAAAAGTGGGCCTTAATTTGGGGTGATACATGAATAACAAAACCAAAGAACAACAACTAAGACCAGACTATGACTTTGACTTTAACTATGATATTAACTATGACTTAAACTGTGGAGTAAACTATGATTTTAACTGTGACTATGACTCTCACTATGACTGTGACTACATGGAGGGAACATACTCAGATGACCTTATAATGAGCAGTAAGAGTCAAAGGACTCATACACACACATAAGGTGATCTGGGGAAGTGGCCACACATGTGGAAACAGCTGATACAAACAAATCATAGGCTGTATTCCAATTCAGGGTCTGCAGCCTTAAAGGCCGCATTTTAAAGCCGATTATGTCACAGTGGCGCGCCGAAGGCTGTCCCAATTCAAAGGCTGCTCGAAATGTGGCCCTCAAATGCATCCTTAATTTCCCTGAATTTTAAGGATGTGGCGGTGTAGACTTCATGGCCCAACATATCCCAGAATGCATAGCGCGGCGGTGGGTGTGGATAATTTTGCTGAAAAAAAAACGGCGGATGAGGGGCGCCCTAAGAGTAAACTTTAAGTAAGTACTGAATATTATGTCACTTATTTATGTGCAATGTTTACTAACGAAGAACATTAAAACTTCTTAACATTGTATACCAATCATAGTTATTTCATGGAATATCTTATACACATTAACGGGGATTTTGGTCCATGTTTTCATATTAAAACACAGCCCACCATTGGTACGCCTTAATTCTCTCTAACATAAACTACATAAGTAAATTAAGAACTCTTCATTTGTCTCTTTTTGGGCTTTATAGTTACTGTATTTTTCGGACCATAAGGCGCACTTAAAATCCTGTAATTTTCTCAAAAATGGACAGTGCACCTTATGTATGAATTCTGGTCGTGCTTGCTGACTTCTAACCGATTTCATGTGGTACACGGCGCTCAAAAATCTGTCAAAAGACGTTTTAGTACAACTTTGATAAGCTATGAAGCTGCACCGCTTGATGGATTGTTGACGCATTCCGGCAACTGTAGTCAGGAACCTCGTGGAGTAATACGTACTGTGCTTCAACATAATATTATTGTTTGTATAAGGGCCCCTAAATGGAATCTGTTAAGAGACATGCTGACTGTTTTGTTTCGCTTAATGTGCCTTATTTATGAAAATAGACCTGTTTATTGATATTGTGCTTTATAATCCGGTTTGTAGTCTGAAAAATACGGCATTTTAAGTTTCTGTTCATTCATTATGAGTTACGGATTTCTTGTGTGTATTTCTGCAGTCTTAAAGGCAAATCGAACAAATAACGGTTTGGATAAGTAAGGTTTTGTGTATTCTGAGGTCTCACTTTCTTTTAGAAATGATGTTAATTGTCTTTATAAAGCATGTAAAAGACACTAAACTATGTCTTTTATGAACCCTGTGAACGAGTATTATATAAAACGTGTTTGTATCTGTAATAATCAGAAAAAATGTTGTGTTTAT